TCCCCGCGTCGCCCCCCGGAGCCTCCTCCACCTGCCCCTGCCCCTTCCCACCTGCTGGCGGGCAGAAGCACCGCCGGCCGTAACCGGCCATTTAAGGCAGCAACGGCGGCAGCGGCCCCCCCCCGCGCTAACTCATTACCTCAGGCTCCGCTGAGGGAGGGGCGGGAGTGGCCGCCTGCCGGACAGCCCGCCCGGCCTATGGCCTGGGGGCGGCGCCGGCCGCTGGCCAATGCCCGGGCAGCGAGGGCGGTGCCTGCCGTGAGAGCCGCCGCCGGCTTGACAGGGGCTGCCGAGAGCGGCGGGAGACGCGGGCGAGGGACAGGTTGGGTTTTGGCGGCTGACCGGCCGCCCCTCCGGAGCTCGGCGGTGAGTGGGCGCCTCTCGCGGGGCGAGACCCTCTTTTTAAGGTGTGCGTGTGTGGGTTTCCCTCCTTTTTAGCGCGCTGGCTAATGGATTTCTATTCGGCGAAGGAAAGCGCAAGGTGAGGGGGCTGGCGCCTCCCCGCCCTGGCCGTTAACGTGAGGCGAGGGGCTGACGGGCGCGGCGGCGGCTTTCCTCCTTAGGATTAACCCCTCGCTGTCGTCCCGTCCCCCCCTTTTCTCTTCTGCCAGAGGCCCCGGGGAAGGGAGGGCCGGGGAGAGCCGCTCTCCCTTGCCCGTCCCTTCGGGATGGGCCCCGGCAGCAGCCGCATCGCCCGCCGCCCCCGGGGAGGGGACGCGCGGCCGTACCCTGTGTGTGAGGGGGGTGGGCTGCCCTCCCCCCCCCCCATCCCCGGGTCCTGCCGGCGCTGCACCGGCGGGTGGGTGGACGGGCGGTGCTGCCTCAGGGCGGCTGGGAAGCCCGGCTCTGCCTGAGGAGCTGGGGGGGGGGAGATCCACCTTGCGCCCCCCCCCCCCCTTGCAAAATGTCGTGGTGTTTATCGAGAGGCGACAACAAAGGCTCAGCCGCTGCGGCTGCTGCTTCGCGCTCTCCTGCAGAGCCAGCGGTCCCCTTTTATGGAGATCGATGGGTAAAGACGATTCGCCCCTTTTTTTTTTTTTTTTTTTTCATTTTAAATGCCCAAGCGTCAGCCGAAGGGGCTTAGTCTCCGAGATGGTGTCCTCCCTGAAAACCGGCGTCAGGTGTGGGAGGCTGTTCGGGGGCTGCAGTGTAACACCCGCAGGTATCGAGCCAAGTACAGTCAGTGGTCCAGGCTGGAAACCGGGACGAGTCCAAAATCCCACGCATTAACCTGCAATCCCAGAATTTGCTCGAAAACAAATACACCCAGCCCACCACCCCCCCATCAGCAGCGGCTGCAAGTATTTATTCAATCCTGCGTACAAGCTCTTCTACCCGGGTGAAATTCTTCCACCTGGGCGTGTGCTACAAGGTGGAAAGTGTGTGTCTTCAACGTTGACAGCTTTGAATCTTGCAGTAGATGCTGCTGACAAGCCATTTCCCTATTCTTGCTTCGCAGGGTCTACGTGAGCAGGTTAAGAGGTGTGGGGGGGAATTCTTTCAGATTTTACAGAGGATTGCATAACGGCTTATGTTTATTTGAAAAGAAAAGGAGGGGCAAAACCAACCCCCAGCCTGAAATGAAACACATGATACCAGATGGTTTTCACTGGCTTTTACTGAGCCTTTACACTGCTTTCTCAACTAGTATTATTAAATAGCATGCTCTAGAAGGTTGGTGAGTGTTAGTGTGTTAATGGAACATTAAGGTTTGGGTTTTTTTCTTCCTCTGGTGCTGTGAAGACTTGGGGGGGGGGGAGGGAACAGAGAGATACCTATACACTTTCATAGTCTCAGGCTTAAAATAGCATGACTGTTTATTGAATGTATACAATTTATTCATTCTTA